TCAAAAGCATGTTATAATTACTCAGGTTTGGTGGCACATGACTATAATCTCAATATAGGGGAGGCTGAGGTAGGAGAATTTCAAATTCTAGGCCATTCTAGACTATGTAGCAAGACCCTGTCTGAAAACAAAAGTAATGTGAGTAGCATCTAGAACCATGTGTGATATTTTGTAAGAAACCAATATAAAAATAAAGGAAAATATAAAATTATATCAGAATATGGTTAGTATTTGGGCTACTACTGCTGCTTTAGAAAATTATCTGAATAAGAATTTTTTTTTCTTTCTAAAAACCTTATTTCTTGGCTCCATAAGAGTACATTACTGTATTTTGAGGCTTGACTACATCTTCAGTTTGTTATTTAGGATACATAAGATTCCTACTAGTTGGAAGGCATTTCATGGGCTTTAGTGCAGGTATGTCTGTCTGGGAAATTTTCCCTAATTATAGTTTTTCCACCAGGTTTTGAAACAGGATTGAAATATATATTCTCTAATTTCTTCTTCAGCATTTTGGCTTTTGTAACTGTGAGTTATGCAAAATGAAATTTACACATGAGATTTATACATTAAATCTTAGAAGACTCAATTAGCAGTTGACTAAGTCATAAATTTGGCTCATTATACAAACTGCTATTCTAAAGTATTGAATTTTAAAAACAAAAACCTTAAGGTATTAGTGCTGTTCAGTGTTCATCCTGTCATATCTGAATTCCTTTTTCATATTTTTAACTTATTACAGTCCAGTAGCCTCGTGGAAAGGCAGTTGCTAGATAAGAATTCAGGAATGTTAGTTTTATTTGATGTGAATGACTTTTGGGGTTTGTTGTTGTTGTTGTTGTTGTTGTTGTTTGGTTTTTTTGAGACAAGGTCTCCCTGTATCCCTAGCTGACCTGGAACTCACCATGTAGACCAGGCTGGCCTTGATGTCGCATAGATCTGCCTGTCTCTGTTTCATGAGTGCTGGGATTGAAGGTGTGTACCACCATGCCCAGTGGATGACTTAGCTTTAAAGAACCACATTTCTCTACTTTAAATTTGGAAATAATGAGGCTACAGACTGTTCCAGCCTATGACCTTGGGTCCAAAAGAAACTAAATTAGTGGATCCAGGTACCTTCCTGCCTTGAATGCATTGGCTCTAAACATGTATTCATCAGTCAAACACCCACCCCTTCTTCCAGGGCACACCATAATAGTAACTCTTCAGAGGAAATGGAATTGAACCAAAGCATTAGAGTATGCCATTCCTCCCATCCTGAGCTGCTAATTCATCACAGTATGAGTAACACTTCTTTCTCCCTTTGAATATATGCAAATAACAGATGATGTCAGACAACAGAAATATCATCCTATTTTCTGTATTTGATGAGAACCGAAGCTGGTATCTCACAGAGAATATACAGCGCTTCCTCCCCAATGCAACTGGAACATGGCTCCAGGATCCTGAGTTCCAGGCCTCTAACATCATGCACAGTGAGTGAAGAATCACTTGAATTCAGTGCACATCTGATAAAGGGAAATAGATGTCCCCAACTGATGCCTAGATAACATTTGTTATCTATAGATTAAAAATAAATATATAAGGGGCTGGAGAGATGGCTCAGCGGTTAATAGCACTGGCTGTTCTTGCAGAGGACCCAGGTTTGCATCCCAACACCCAAATGGTGACGAACAACCATCCATAACTCCAGTTCCAAGGGATCTGATGACCTCTTCTGTCCTCCTTGGGCACTGCATGACATGGGTGCACTTTCGTACATGCGGGCGTAACACTCGTACACATAAAATAAAAATAAAGTAAAAAATAATAAATGTATAAATGTGACCGTACAATGCATATTTTTTAAATCCCATTGCTTTTCCTTTCAATGTTTATTTGACTACCATGTCCTTTTCTTTTGTATTTTATATACTATATTATACCTCTCTACCATCCACTCCAAGTAATTCATTTAAAAACACTTTCTGTATTATTATATACTCATCTAACATATGATATTAACCTTCTAAAGCATTAGATTTATCTCCTCACAGTGCTGGAAGGTAGAAATCTGAGATTAAAATGTTAGCAGACTTGGTTTCTTCTTCACTTTCTCTTTGGCTTTCAGATGCTGTCTTGTCCCTGCACTCTTGCATGGTCTTCTGTACCTATCTGTCTGCTGTTTGTTTTGTAATCTCTTCTTATAAGGTGGTTAGGGCCTGCACTAATGACTTCATTTTCACTAATTGTCTCTTTAAAGACCCATCTCTAAATACAGTCACATTTGGAGGTTTCCAACTTCAACATGTGAACTGGGGAACAAAATTCAGCATATGTATGTGTATTATTTATATACAAACACAAATCTGGGGCCTGGAGAAATGGCTCAGCAAGAGCAGTGGCTGCTTTTGCAGAGGACCTGGGTCCAATTCTGAGCACGCACATGATGGTTAAGAATCATCCATAACTCGAGTTCCAGAGGATCCAGCGCCCCCTTCTGACTTCCATGGTCATTGCACACCACATTTGCATACATGCAGACAATGTACTGATACACATAAAATAAAAATAATAAAATATTTAAACAAAAATCTGAATGGCCAAAAGCATAATAAAAATGTAGTCTAACTACTCTACTAGGAAGGGGCAAATAAATGCCAGTGACATAGAGAGCTTGGCAAACTGGGAAAATTAGACCATTCTTACTATTGGGTGTGAGTAAAACAAGACTCTCACACAGTGCTAGTAGCTATTAAAAGACTTAGGGTTGACATTTGTCACTAGTTGTCATCCATAGTATTTAATTCTGACAACATGTAATTTTTCTTCTTTTCTCCCTCTTCTCTCTAACCTGACAGAATATTGTGTTTTATTATTTCCTATTGTAGTATAGAATAAATACTTATGACTTTATTTTTCTATGCACCTTTTCACCATTCCCTACTACAGCCTGTTTCAAATAAGGTAAGCACCTGTCTGAAGAGTTAAAGTATACTATTTTCTTGGAGATGATGATTATAACAAGAGAAATACGGCTATGTAGAATCTTAAAAAAGTGAAACCCATCTGGGTACAAATGCTTGACTGGACAGGGCTTGACATGTATGGCAGAATGCATGAGGTCTGGCAAGGAAGATGGGGGTGTGGATGGGGGAGGGGGTCTAAATTTGATTAAGGACTGTTGGATAAAATGTACAAAAGCTCAATAAAAAAATTTTTTTTAATTTAAGAGAAAAAAGAAACAGAGAGTGAATTAGTGGCTCCCAAAGTCTCAGTTGTAGAGTGAGATGATGGTCAAAAGATACAAGATTTCAGTTAGAAAGAATGAGGTCCATTGTACATCATGGTTAACTATAGTTAATAGTAATATATTTTATACTTGAAAATCGAAATGTGTTCATTTCGAGTGTTTTTTCCTCACACAAAAAGTATGAATGTGCATTAATGCAATGCTAGTTTTATTTACTCATCTTACAATGTGTATATATATATATCAAAACATCATAATATGTACCATAAATATATACTTTTCAATTAAAAATAAAAAATTATCGATTGAGTACCAGGTATGGTGGTACACTCCTTTAATTCCATCACTCAGGAGGCAAAGGCAGATGAATCAGGCCAGCCTGGTGTACGTAGCAAGTTCTAAGCCAGACAGTGCTGCATAGTGAGACCCTATCTCAGAAAAAATATTAAAGATTGAAAAGAATAATTAATTCTAATAAGTTTGATGGAGCTTACATTCCAGTTATTTAAGATAACTAACTACTTTTCAATTTCAGCTGGGCCTGGTGGTGCTCACCTGTCATCCCAGCACTTGGAAGGCTGATGCAGTAGGTTGACAAGTGTGAGACCAGTTTAGGCCATACAGAGAGACCCTGTCTCAAAAATTAGAAAAAATAAATAAAGGCTGGGCGTGGTTGCACACACCTTTTAATCCCAGCATAGGCAGGTGGTCCAGGTGCCAGCCTAGAGTACATAGCAAGTTTCATGTCAGCTAGGCTACATAATGACATTCTGTGTCAAAAAAAAAGAGCCAGCTCATCTTCCCATCCTCTTCTTACTCTATGCTTAATTAACTGTTGTCTCCAAAAATTCTTTCAGAATCTCCTGACTGAGCAGCCTGTATGCCCAATCCTCTACCTGAGACCAAATTAGACTATGTTCCTGCTCCAAGCTAGCTGAGAACTCCTCAGTTAAAAGTTCCCAGAAACAACTGTCTCGCCCTAGCCCCACTGTTAATAGTTACATCCCTATCTTGGGCTTGGTAAAATGTCACAAGTACAGTAAAGCTAGACAACTCACTCTCTTTGCCAGGATGTTTCCCTACTGTCCTTACACCCTCCCCGGTTATCAGCTAGCCATAGAAACCCAAAGCAACTTCTTTGTTCTGAAACTCCAGGAGGTGGGGGGCGGGGTGGGTGGGGGCAAGGACAACCCAGCCCAGCTTTTACAACTTTTGCTGGTCCCCACGGAGAAGCTGTTTCACTTTTGCTGATGAAATCCTCTGAAAGATCTTCAAAGTATCTGGTCCAGTCACCTATTGGAATTCCCTTATTGACATAATTTTAAAAACTATGGCTTCAAGAAACCCTTATGTCCTATACCCCAAACTTGATCCAGTCTTTCTCATTGCACCCGTATTTTCTTCATTCCCCCTAAAGCAAAGCTCTGCAAGTCTTGGCTCCTATCTCTCAATTACTTTATTGCCCTTCTTCTCCTAACAGGTCTGGTATTTACCACCTCAGAGGACTAAAGTACCCCTTTTCAGGGTCATCCTGGCCCTTATTTTTGGGCCCTACATATTAAATTTTCTTCCACTCTGTTACAGCAAAGAGTACAGGTCCTCACCTCCTCCACCCTGATCCAGTTATTCCTGACTGAGGAGTACCAGCCTCTCCACGCCTCAAAAAGAGAAATCCAGCATCCCTGTTCCCATCCTACATCTTACCCTCTTTTTCTATATGTCCCCAGGGTCTGGAATGATAGAATGTGTAAACTGCAAGGGAGTCATAAACTTCCTTACATAAATTCTTCAAGGTAGCCAAATGGCCCAACTGGAGGCTTGACCTTTGATCAGGCTTTATCAACTGGTCACTTTCCTGGCTGACAGAATCTGGTTACAAGGATCATTTATCACCTGTTGTGCCATAGCCTCCTCTGGAGTCCTGTCCTCATCAACTGATCACTACAGAGACTGTTTACCAAGTGAACCTGCTGTGCCAAAAGATAACATGCCTGCTCATCCTGAGAAAAAAGCCTTAGGAAAGAGACCCTCAAGTATCCCAAGGACACTGACACCTGACATCTGACACCAAGCAAATTCCTACAGCTGCGTTCAGTAGAGTCCCTATATAAATCCAGATTGCTCTGCTTATTGATGCTGATGTCTGTATCCGTGGACAAGATATTGGCCCTTTCTTATGTTCTCCTGAATAAAAGAGGACATATTATTTGCCTTATTTAAAAAAAACTGAGTAGTATATCACATTGAAAATGCAGTAAGATACTATCAAAAAGGCTAAAATTAAAAAAGACCATGCTAAAGCTAAAGATGGAGGGCAGTCATATAGCTTAGTACATATGAGAGCCTGGGTTCGATCCTCAGCACCATGAAATAAAAGACTGACTGTAATAAGTTTTGATGAAGATCGACAAGGACTCTATTGTATCTACCTACACTGGAAAAGTACTTGGCAGGAACTAAGGCTGAACACAGGTTCATTCTTTGACCTACTTTTCTGAGATGCTGCCTTTTCATATGTATTTAATTCTTACCTATAGAAACATCAGTTTCTAGACTCTATATTTTGTTTGATATGCTTACCTACATTAATAATACATTTTGGAGTCAGGGAGATGGCTATTTTAGTTTCGTTCCATTATCGTGATAAAACACTGTGACCAAAAGCAACTTGGAGAGGAAAGGGTTTATTTGGCTCACAATATCACATCACAAGTCATCATTGAGGAAATCAAGGCAGGAACTCAAGGCAGGAACCCTAATAGAACATTGCTGGTTCCCTCACTGGCTCACTCCCTGGCTCATGCTTAACTGGCTTTTTATACAGCCCAGGACCACCTACCCAAGAAATAGTGCCTCCCACAGTAGGCTGAGTCTTTCTACATCAATTAATCATCCAGACAACCCCTCATAGACATGCCTACAGACCAACCTGATCTAGGCAATTCCGTTTCTCCTCTCATATATCTCTAGGTTCTGTCAAGCTGATAATTAAGTCTAACCAAGACAGTGGCTCAGAGGTTAAGGCTGCATACTGCTCTTGCAAAGGACCCAATTTTGGTTCCCAGCACCCAGGTCGGTGGCTCATAACTGTCTGTAACTCTAACTCCAAGAGATCTGATGCTTTGTTCTGATCTCCACAGGCACCCACATGCACATGGCATACATTCACACAGACACACACATACACATAAATAAAAGTAAATCTTTAAAATAATACATTTTTGATGTATCAGTGTGGGTGTGGGTATGGGTGGGTGTTGGCATGCCCTGCCACAGTATGTGTGTGTAGATTGGAGGACAACTACAGTTGGTTCTCTACTTTTACTACTTACTGCCCACATCATGTTTCCTATGAATAAAGATATGTATTGTCTTAGATAACCACGGTCATCAAATTCTGGACACTTTATCTTTTCACAATGCATTTCTGTAGTTGGCATATATATTCTAATTGTGTCTTCCAGTGCGTTTTTCTCCCTACGGTAGAGAGATCTAGTATAAGTATCTAGTTTTGGGTTTTTTTTAATCTGGAGCATTACAGGATGCTAACATTGATCATCTGCTTATTTTCTTTGGGTTTGTCTATATAAACTATTTTTTTCTTCCTTGAAACTAATAGTTTGTAGGGAAATGTTTGAGATCATATAATTACCTTTTTTCTCATCAAACTGTCCCCACAATGTAGCACCCAAATCTCTCTTTACGTGATGGTCCATCACTCTCATCTTACTTTGGGATTGGAGTCTGGGTGGTTAAATATTAACAGTCTACCCTTTTGCTAACTCTTGTTTCTGATCATAATGGACATAACATATAATACTTTTTTGTTTTGGTCTTTTTGAGACAGGGTCTCCCTGTAGCCCCAGTTGGCCTGGAACTCTCTATGTAGACAAGGCTGCCCTCTCCACCTGCCTCTACCTCCCAAGTGCTGGGATTAAAGTCATGTGCCACCATGCCCAGCATACATATAATACTTTCTAATTGTATCCTGATGATCATTGTCCAAAATAATAAGTCTAAGATACTGCTAAAGCTCTTGTTCCCCATTACTTTTGCAGGTATCAATGGCTATATTTTTGATAGCTTGCAGTTTTCAGTTTGTTTGCATGAGGTGACATACTGGTACATTCTCAGTGTTGGAGCACAGACAGACTTCTTATCTGTCTTCTTCTCTGGATATACTTTCAAACACAAAATGGTGTATGAAGACACACTTATTTTGTTCCCATTCTCAGGAGAAACTGTCTTCATGTCTATGGAAAACCCAGGTTAGTTATTTATATTATCCTTCCACTAACAACTGTGATTGTTTCATTAGTCATTCATGTGCTTTTTAAAGATATTTATTGTTTTATGTATATAAGTGTATTGTTTGCATGTATGTAAGTGCACCCATGTCGTGCAATGCCTGCAGAGGTCAGAAGAGGAAATCAGATCCCCGGAAATTGATGTTATGGATGGTTGTTAGCCTCCATGTGGGTGCTAGGAATCGAACCTGGGGCCTCTGCAAGAGCAGCCAGTGTTCTTAACCACTGAGCCATTTTTCTAGCCCTCAGGTACTTTTTAAATTTAGAATTTCATACATGTGTATGATGGGTTTTTATCAAGTCCACGCCTTTCCTTCCTCTCCAACTTCTCCCCTATTCCCACTATCATTATTCCCTTCAAATTTCATGTGTTCTCTTCTTTATTTATTTTGTTTCCACAGCGGAAACAAGCTTTATTAGAAGTAAAGAAATACACACACACACACACACACACACACACACACACACTCTCAGACAGAGAGAAAAGCTCTCCATGAGTGGAAAAGGGGAAATCAAAAAGTCCAAAACTCCCAGGAGGGCTTGGGCCTTTGGAGTGTTTTTGACAAGTCCCACTCCCCACTCCCCTTATTTTTCACTGGTCAACTTAAAGAAGAGAGAGAGCCTATAGATCACAGCTCCATGCTCAGTGAGATATGTCCAGGCCTAGCTTTGGTCTTACCCATACTGGTCTGGACTGGTCATCTGGAAAAGCGGACCCTGCTGGCTGGCAGGTGGTAGGGAACCCCTGGGCCTTTTGTCTCAGAACAAGTAGCTAGACATGTGCCTTATTTGGTACTCAGTGGTGGCCCTGTGTATCAGGTATTTAGCCCCTTATAGTAGGTGTATATAAATAGACCCGTGCCTGTTTTTCAGGTAGCTTTGGTACCTTTGCAGAGGGACTGTTACACTCTACAAAGGACTTGAGGTGGGGACTTCGAGGTCCCAGCTTATGGGCTAAGAAACAGGCTTACAGGAAAACCTCCTTGGCAAGGACCAGGGACTCAGATCATTCTGATACTCTGGAGAGAGGCATGCCAGACACAAGGCTGGTCATGAAGTGGGAGGAAGTTTGGAGAAGGACTCTGCTTCCCTGTTGCTCGTGTCCCTTCAACAAATGAAAGCCTTGTTGTCAGTGGAATAGCAAACAATTGACACTACGAGGCAGGACCCATGTACTGCTCATGGACGCGGGTTGTCTGATGAGTCAGCTGCCCTGTACATGAGGGCTTCCTGGAAGCTGCAGACAGGCCACTTCGGCAGGAGAGTTAACTTCTGGTCTCTTACAATGTCAGGCATCGAGCTGGGGAAGCAAGTCAGAAACAGAGAGAGGATAGTATAGACACAGTGTACTCCCAGCAGGAATTCTAGACTATTCCAGACATCTTAACCACACAGCGTGGGGTTCGGCCTCCATGGCCTCTGCCTCTTCCCATCCAGACAGTCCTGGGCACCTTTCCTTCCTGAAGGAGAGAGGAGCAGGGATTGGCACAGCACTGATTAGTCATCTCTGTTGAAACCCAGTGAGACTGTGATTATGTTTAATGGCCTAACAACATAAACCAAGTTTTTGAAATTTTTTTACCTTTTGACATAAGCAAAATTTACATGTATATGCATGTGAATTTGTATATAAGCTTGTTATATGTTATAAACATACCCACGTATTGATTAATTGATCACAGACTAAAGGTTCTTTTCCATATGTACATTGCTGGAGGCCTGTGGTACTCTAAGTGGGTTTTATCCCCCGACCTGGGACAGGTAGCAAACTACTTTAGTTCAACATTTTCTGGGTCATTGTTAAAATAACATAGCTTAAATGGAATTTGTTCACAGTGCTGTTATATCAATACATTTCTTATTATTTTAGGATTAGATTTCCATGTATAACAAGAACGTTGTTATTGTCTTCAGAGGGGACTTTATGATTGCCATTCTAGAATGAACCTTCTCTTCCCTCAGCATCTCCATTTTCCCCTTCATTAACTAGGAAGCAAATTAGACTTGCATTGAGCCCGTGTCTGACCAAATGTTATTTTTAGAAGCCGTCTCACCTCTCTCCCTCCTTTGGGGTGTCTGTTTTCTTTCCTTAACTCTATTTTGCCCTCTCAATCCTTGCATTCCAAATCAGCACCATACATGAAGTTGGGAGGGAAAAGTGGGGGGGGCATGAATGTGAGGAATTGAAGCGGGGAATGGGGAGGTGGATTTGATAAAAACACATTCTATACATGCATGAGATTTTTCAAACAATAAAAAAGATATGTCTATAAGAAAAAAAATCACGGGCTGGAGAGATGGCTCAGTGGTTAAGAGCACTGACTGCTCTCACAGAGGATTCGATTCCCAGCACCCACATGGTGGCTACGAACCGTCCTTAACTCCAGCTCCAGGGGAATCTGAAGCCCTCTTCTGACCTCCACGGCATTGCATGACACAGGTGCACTCACATACATGCAGGGAATACACTGGTACACATAAAATAAAAATAATAATAAAAAAAATCAGTACTATCTCACTACTAGCACAATGGGTAAGAGACATTATTTGCTTTTAGAACACAGAAAGTCTTTTTAAGCTTAAAAATTCAAGAAAATATGGTGAATGGAAAAGTCTCACAGGCTTGTGTCTAATGATAAAGCCTTGTGTACTAAGTCATGCTATTAAACAGTCAGGTGACTAATGGAGGAAAAATATGTGGAACATGATCAAAGGGTTAATATTTTCATTATACTAAATAATTTTACAGTTAAAGAATTGATCAAGGAAATAAGCAGTCAGGTCCCCTAAAGAAGTCAGATAACCAATAAAAATGTGGGAAAGATCGAAATGTTATTACTAATAAAAACAGAAGTGACATATAATTTTTGCATGTTAAATGAGTGGAGATTAAAAAATCATTTGGGTTGGGGGGGCATGGTTCAGTAGGTAAAGTAATTGCTGTACAAACATAAGGACTGAATTCAGATCTGCAGCACAATCACAAAAAGCTGGTCATGGTGGCGCATATCTGTGACCTCAGCAATGTAGAGGCAGAAACAGGGATCCCAGGGTCTCTTCTTTATTTTTAAGTACACAAGAGACCACTTAGTGCTGTGTATGTACATGGGTATACGACAATCTACTGGAGCATGTGTATGCTGTCAGGGGCTGCACTCCTTAAAAAAAAAAAAAACCCACTTACTTTTCCTTCCCCAGAAGTCATAAGTTGCCAATAGCTCCTGAACTAGGTATGGGACTTCATGATCACCTCCCCTCTCCATGGGACTTTTGTCTGGCTTAATCTTGTGCAAATCTTATGCATGAAGTCACCGCCACTGTGAGTTCATATGTGCAACTGCCTTGTTGAGTCTGGAAAACACTGTTTCACTGTAGTTTTCCATTGTCTCCGGCTCTTAGAATCTTTCTGTCCTCTCTTCCATTATGATCTCTGAGACTTAGGTAGCTAGGATGTGATGTAGATGTCTCATTTAGAGCTGAGTATGCCACAGTGTCTCTTATTCCTTGCACTTGACCAGTTGCAGGTTTCTGTAGTAATTATCATCTACTGCAAACAGGAGCTTCTCTTATGAAGGTTTAGAGATGCACTAATGTATGAGTATAAAGATAAAAACTTAGGAGGCAGTTTATTACTATGTCCATTTAGCAGAATAATAATATAGGGTTCTCCTCTAGAGGCCATGACCTAGCAAGCCATGGCATTTTGGCACAATATACCATAATAGGCATGAGTTCTGTCTTGTGGAGGAAGCTTTAAATCCAATCAGAAAGTAGTTGGTTCCTCCCATAACATTCATGCCACTATTGCACCAGTGGGTATATCTTACCAGGCGGTAATTATTGTAGCTTGCAAGGTTTATAGCTAGGAAAGACTGTTGATTACTCATTCAGTAGCATGCATAGTACCTCCCAGAACTGTGAAAAATAGGCAGCATGGATGAAGCTTTGAGGTCAGTACCAGCTTGGTTTCACCATATTTGTTTTACAATTCACGTATGCAGTGTCTTCAGCAATGGAGTCTTATTGTCAGGTTCTGGTAGGTAACCAAGAGTAGAGGCAATAGCCGGTATTATTTGAGGATATCTGGAACCTCCCTGGTTAACAACTCAAAAAGAAGGAGTCCATTCCTGGCATTGGGATTTTTGTTCGTTAGCCTGTTGTATCTGGTAAGGAAATTGAACCCCCATTATAGGGTTACTACATTTATACTTTTTATATTGTGTATGTATATATTTTAAGAAGCTTCTATAGTAGTAGGTTTTCACTTGGCTTTTTCAAAAGTATTTAATGTTAGTTATCCCTCCCCATACTCCCATAGCCACCCTGCCCTCCCATCCTCATTTAATTCTTTATTACTCATTCCCCCTTCATATTACCTGCATTTTATCTCCTCTCTCAAAAAGCCTCTCTCAAAAGCTTCTTACTGATTTCCTGACTTCTATAGGTACTCGAGTTTAAACACACATATCTAAAGAGTGAAATCTATCATCCACATATGAGAGAGAACATGTGATGTTTGTCTTTCTGGGTCTGGATTACCTCAGGTTGATTATTTCCCATTCCGTTTATTTACCTGCAAATTTCATAATTTCATTTTTCTTAACAGTGGAATAATATTCCATTGTGGAAATATACCATACATTCATTATCCACTCATCAGTTTGTGGACATCTAGGTTGTTTCCATTTCCTGGCATTGTGAATAGAGCAGCAGTGAACATGAATGAACAGGTATCTCTATAGTATGCTATGGAGTCATTTTAATATATGTTCAAGAGTGGTATGGCTGGATCATATGGTAGACATATTTCTAGCTTTTTGAGGAACGTCCATGCTGATTTTCATAGTGGCTGCACCAGTTTACATTCCCATCAACAACAGATAAGTGTTTCCCCACATTCCCACCAGCATTTGTTGTCATTTGTTTTCTGACTAGGGTAAGATGAAATCTCAAAGTAATTT